CCCCCCCCCCGCCCCATGCAGCAGACTTTTCCAGCACTGGCAAAGCAGACAGCAGCATTCACTGGGCCGGGCTTTTCCTATTTCAGTTTTGTTAGCGGTTCTCTAAAGATTCTGAAGAGAAAGCAAAAGGGAATGGGAAGAGGAACACTCTTTTTAGAAAAACGAAGAGGAGGGATGCAGGCGAAACTGACGGCTGGCATGGAAACTTGAGTTCCTGTGACCCTGGTCTCCTGGCAGGGAGGCCGGACACACCCTTTTGCAGAAACAGGAGGGGGGGGAAGTAAGTCCTGGAGACAACTTGCTCCCTCCCCTGCTCCTGCATGACGGGCGGAACCATCCCAGAACCGTTGGTATCGACTGCACTAAAGTGAATCTCTCTCGCACAAGGACCACTGAGTCGTTCCAAGCAACGGAGATTTCTCTTGTGCCGTGTTAGGAGCGGTGCCCCTAGCGGCTGGCTCAGTTGTTCTAAGTGCTGCTCCAGAGACCTTCCCTCGCTCAAGGGCTTTTATCCAGCGGTGACGGCACCGTCCGGCTATTTGCCGATTGCGGCCTAGAGTTCTCTTGGGGAATGCGCTGGCTGGATAAGGCAGCCTACAGCATAGCCCTGCTCCCAGGCAAGAAGACAGTCCTCCCTTTTCTGAAATCAGCAGCAAGCAGAATCAAAAGAGTGGTCCTTCATGGGGCGGGAGACGATGCTACCTTCCCCTTACACATCCTGTCTCTGCAGCCAAGCTCCAACTCTTATGTGTACTCAGAGGCAAGGCCCATTCGGCAAAAGCCCCACTGCTCTCCGTAACAGTCCATCTAATTTTCCCCATCCTTCTTTCCCAGTGCTTAATTCTCAGCTTGTTTCCTTCCTGGAAGGATCCTTTCTCAGTGAAGGGGGGGGGGGAGCTTTTCTCTTTGCAACCAAAACAGTTCCTCATGAATAATAGTATTTTTTAAAAAATGGTGGCGGAAAAATAGGAAAACCCATTAGCAACAGTTTCGACTACAAAGTGAAGAGCGTTAATTAAAGCGGCCTCCTCCTCACACTCCACCCTTGGGGGGGGGAAGAAGAACGGGTTAAGGACCGATTCAAGGATCCTGTCCCCCCCCCCCCCCGGGAGTGAGCAGAACATACTTGAGTATGCTGAGAAACCGAAGTGGCTGTGAAAGAGGGGAGGGAATGGAATTACAAGAAGCCCCCGGGGAGCTGCAGAAGTGCTTTCTTCATCTACAGCAGGTTGGCTGGTACTGGAATCGTTTTTGTAAGGATGGTCGGAGGGGAGTCGCCCCAAATCAGGTCTGATACAAGACAGAAAAGCAACACAGAAAACACCGGGATGCAACAGATTAAAATTTGTCCTTTCCAGACTAAACAGCCCACTGTGAAGCGACTGCTGTCGGGGGAGAAAAACACTCTCCTTCCTGCTCCTGATACCCGTGGCCAGCAAACTCCGTGGTCTGGGTTTTTTTCCCCCTCTTGAATTGTTCACACTGTGAACACTTTTTAGAACACGCCCGCGGTGGTCCCTGCCCACGTCCCCTCCCGGAAAGCAAGCTCTGCCCTCTGCCGCGTCTCTGCCTTGGGTGGGGTTCACAGAGGGGGAAGGCCTTTTCGGCCCACACCTTCCCAGCTCCCTACCAGCGACCGGGGTTAAGGAAACTGTGCCTCCCCCCCACCGACTATGGTGCGGAAAGCCCCCCCCCCCGGCCCAGGGGAGCCTGGGTCACGCTGCAAGCACGGTGCGGGATTCACAAGCTGCATACAGAACGCCCCGTGGGGGGAGGATTCTGCTGTCTGGAAAGGCCCGTGGGGGGGGGGAGTCAGTGGGGTGCGCCCAGCAGCAGTGACGGCCCCAGGTTTTTTTCGCCCACTAGGCAAGGATACATTCTGGTGGGCCCCTCCCCTGGTGTGGGGCGGGCGCCGGAGCCGCAGCGGGCGGGCGAGCTGCAAATGCATGCCTGTGCCAGGCTGCAAAAGGAGCTCCAAATAAGGCGGCAGAGGGCGAGCGGCAGTTTCCTGTCATCCCGGGCTGTTCCCCGCACCTGTCCCCCCCCCCTGCCTTCTTCTCTTTCTGTCTGGGGGGCTGCAAAGAGGGACGGGGACGAAGCAAGAAGCCGGCAA